AAGAAAATAAATTTTCCTTTTTGATTTATTATTGAACCAGAAGATGAACGGATTCGCACGCATGAGGAGCGGCGCTTCGCGGGCCACCCCGCTGTGCAGCTTCTCCGGGGCGCGTAGTGCCGCATCGTGCTCGCAGCGACTTCGCTTCGGTAGCAGCGCCTCCCAGTCGTCTCCATTCACTTCCTCCTCCAAAGCCTCCGGCCGCCCCGGCCGAACGGGTGCCGCCCCTGGCACCTCGACCCCCGCCTTCGAGATGCCCCACATCAACGGTGCGAGTAGAAGAAACTCATCTGCCGTCAGCCGCTACCTCAACGCCACAAATCCCCGGTACCTGCTACGCCAATTTTTACTGCATTTCGATTCTCTCGATTCAGCGGAATTGGGCTTGTGACTTATGCCCAACCGTGTTGTGCCTGCTGTAGGACGGTGATGCCGTTGGCTGCGGCCACGGTGCGACTGTCTGGCCTTCTTGACCTCCTCGGCGAGAGCAGCGGTACTCTTCCTCTCTGTGAGTGCATCTGTGTCGTATCCTCGCCCCGTTCCGTTCTCACTCTTCTCCTCTTTACTTCTTCTCCTTCTTCTTGTGTTCTCCTCCTTCATGGCTCGCGTTGCTCGTGTTCCTCTCACAGAGGGCGACGATGATGGCTAAAACCAATGCGTCTTCTCTCTCTCCTCTTCCTCCTTTCTGTTCTCCCTCTTTCCACCTCCTCTGCAGGCGAAGACGACGATGGGTGTTGACGCTACACGTGTAGCTCTGCTTCGCCCGCTCTCACGCGGCCTCTCTACACGGCAACTCAGCTCCTCCCTTCTTCTTCATCTATTCAGCTGAATAAATGGACGACATCATGAAGGCTCAGTATGCCGGATGGGGGTTTGCAAGTTGTGAGGCATGATTCATTCAGTGCAGCTATGGAGGGAGAACAGTTGTGTTGTCGCTTGGCCTGGAGGGACTGACAACAGTCTCAAGCGGACATGATATCAGAACTGCACCAGATAGACGTCGGTGAGTCCTGTGAAGGAGCAGACCTTGTCCTCCACCCAGTAAGCGCACCTCAACCGGAGCGTCGGCGAGCGCGTAGAGATCGTGCGGCAGCCGGTACTGGAAGCACACGGTCTTCAGAAGCGAGTAGAAGGTTGTGGAGTCGTTGTACTTCACCTTCACGACCTTCGGCCCGTGGTGCACCAAGAGGGTGTCGGCTCCGCTGCTGGGGGGAGGAGTGCTGGCCGAGGTCGACTGGTGGCTGGACGGTTGGGGAGCCGCCTGGCGCGGCACGTAGGGCGATCCAGGGTCGTTGGGCTTTTCGACGTGGAAGTGGCGCTGGGGGGAATCGACGGGGGAGCAGGTAGGCGACGAGGGTGAGGCGGCCACGTAGGTCTTCACGTACTGATGCGCGGTATCAACTATGTCCGCGAAGACCCGGAGCGCCACCTTGTCGATGCCGAAGTCCTTGTCCCGGACCTTGATGTAGTTCTTGACCAAGTTCACCCTCAGTGGAGCCAGGTTGAGCTCCTTGGCGATCCTCTCCTGCAGGGTGACGCGGTTCTGCTTCCCGCTTACCGTGTCTGCCCTCGTGACGACCACCTGGGCGTTCAGCTCTGCGTGGAAACCAGTGTTTAGAGGAACCGACGGCAGTCCAGCTTCTAAGATGATGATGACGATGATAAGTGGATCGAGCAGACGTACTCATCTTGTTGGTCAGGCGCAGGGCGTCCTTGATGCGGAGGAGCATGACCGAATCTTCCAAGATGTTGATGGGCACGAACATGAGCACCCCGTGGATGCGCCTGTCGACCTGGTGCATGTTGTCGGGGTCGCGCTTGGCCCCGTCCACAATGGAAACGTTCACCATCTCGTATCCGCTCGGGAGATCGCCGCGCAGCAGGGTCATCAGGAAGTCGTTGCCATAGGTCTCCTCGTCGAGGCCCCAGCTGTCCCACAGCGCAATCTCGGTTCCAGTGAGGCCACACAGTTGCCCCAGGTGAAAGCGCCTGGCACCAGGTGAATGGTCAGAGGCAAGAGCCACATTCACGCAACATTCACCAGTCGATAGGTAGGTGGGCTATGGGCTAAATGGGCTAACCTGTAGTCGGTGGTGCAGTGGTCGCCGTCTCCGCCCACCTGCGCGTTGTCCATGACCTGGTCGGAGAAGGCGCTGAGGATGGTGTTGGTGAAGCTGCTCTTGCCCGACCCGATGACGCCGAACATGAGGATGTTGAGGCAGGTGGCAGGGCTGGGCGGCCGGTAGCCGATGAAGTTGCCGATGAAGTCCTGGCTCCGGAATTCGATCTCGTTCATGTCGCAGTACACCTGCGCACCGTGGGGGTGCTTGATGCTGAATTGCACACCGTCGGAGAGGTGTCGGAAGTGCCTCTTCTGGCTGTTGAGGGTGAAGGACAGCTGCGTCTTGTCACCGACCTCGAGAGAGTGCGGCAGGTTGACGCAGGTCTCGTTGAAGTAGTGGCCTTGTTCACTCAGCCAGATGCGAGTTCCCGCCGGTAGCGCCACCGTTCCGACGTTGTGCACCTCCAGTTGGTACTTGAGGTCCTGCAACATCACAAACGTTCATGTTACCTGCTTCGAGCCGGGAACCCGAACGGCGGCGGAGAAGAGAACCTGTGAGAACTTGACCGGGGAGTTGACAGTGTAGGCACGGAGGGTAACGTGGAGATCATGCTGCACGCTGCTGTCATTGCGCTCGTTGTCCTTGAGCGCTTCGAGCAGTGCCTCGTAGTTGTCCACTCGGTAGAGGCACCCGTAGCTGGCCACTTTGGCCAGGTGGTCCATGTCGAAGTGTTTCCCCACCGCCAGGACAAACACCATGGCGCCCTGCAGGGTGTGCCGGCACGCTTAGCTTAGGCCCTGCCCTTAAACTCGGGGGGGGGGGGCGTTGACAAAAGTGAGTAGCAGGCCCTACTTGAGTGAACTTGAGTTGAGCAGCCAAGCGCTCAGCATCTGCCTTGTCGTTGGCTTCGCCATCGGTCAGAAGGAAGAGAAGCCTCTTGGCGTTGTTTCGGCCGCGCGAGTACAACTGCTGCGCATCCGTAAGGCCCTGGGAGGTGTTGGTCCCTCCACGTTTCCGGACATGCGCTGCACGACGGGAACATCGGTTATGGTGGCAAAGGCGGGGGGGGGAAACCAAGATGACGGTGGACAGTGCGTACAGTTCAACGCTTGCTGAACCTCAATGGCCGACTGGCGCCAGGGACTCACGATGGTGGAGGTTGAGTGGAACATCACCCCGGCGAAACGGGCGCCGTTGTTGCTGGCTGAAATGCGCAGGATCTCCTCACCTGCTTGCCTCAGCTTGACAAAGTCGGGGTCACTGATCGAACCCGAGTCGTCGACGCACTGCGCATAGACAGCTAACAGTCAGCGAAATGAACAACAAAAAACAATAACAAGAAGACGGACAATAAAAAGGGAATCAAAAGAATGATGACCCAAAAGGATAGTGGGGTCCTACCAGCAGCACTTCAACCATGTTGGCCTGCAGGTTCTTGGCCATCCGCTTGCGCAGACGGACTTGGCTTCCCTCGTTCTGTGTGCGGGAGATCAATGGTGAGCGTGCTGGGTGAGAGAATACGACAAGGTTGGTTCGGCCGCCACGTTTACCGTTCCCGAATCGTCTCCGAACATGGTGTGGCAGGTGAATGCTGTTAAGACGGGGCTGTAGGTGGGCTGTGGTTTGAATGAAGATAGAGCGAAAGGAAAGATACCCGCAGTTTTAAAGTGGCCAGTGTCGACATTTGTGCCCTTTCGGTGGATGTCGACGGAGGTCACCTGGTTTGCCATTTTTTGTTTTTGGTTACAAAGACACACAATTCGGCGGAACTGGTTAATTCCGAAATTTCCGAAAAAACAGCAGCAACAAACACATTTAACCAATCAACACCACCACTTCGGCCGAATTGTTGTGTCTTTGTAACCAATAATCTCTTTTGCCCTGGGTGAATTCGGCGACCAATCAGCAGTCCTGTTTCCTTGCCACACAACAAATAGTGGTGTCACTGAGAGGGCTAGTTACTTTTTTCAACCTACACCACCCAGACCTACCGCTCATCCACCGCCACATGTCTCACCAGCCGGACGCTCACAACCTACACCACCCGGACCTACCGCTCATCCACTGCCAGATGTCTCACCAGCCGGACCCGCAGCCTTCCAGTTCCATTCCTTCGGCGGTGGCCTCCACGGATGAGAGCAGCGTCGATGGCGGGCGTATCAATGCTGAGCTCATCTCTAGGCTTGTGCAAGACGCCGTCAGAATGGAGCTGGCCAAGGACCGGGAGGTGCAGGTGAAGCTCTTGGCGCTTAGTTCCCAGCTCTCGGTGCAGCTGCAACAGCTGCTCGACGTGCACGCCAGCCAGCAGAGGAGCAACGGGCGCGCGAGCCCGCACCCCCCACCCACCACGATCGCAGTCGCGGCGCAACCGAGGTTGCCCCTTGCCGTCATCCGATACGGGACTATCGAGGTACCCACAACCACCACAACCCAACTATTTCAGCTGATTATGTGTTGGAACAAAGGCCGTAACACTGTCTGATGTATGTAGGAGAGTTTGCTGCGCATGTGTACCCTTTTCCTGCTCGAGAGGGGCATTGGCCACTACCTCAAGCCGGAGTTCGTGGAAGCGCCAGAGACAGCTCACCAGCTGGTCTTGCTGGTGGTCAAGTCCTTGACTGAACGCAAGCCCAAGCCATCCGAGGTTGCTGCCTTCATCGACGACAAGTGCAGAGGTACGCGATGGACCAGCACGTCTGAAAAGAGACTTTACGGACAATGGTCTCACACAGCCTGGGTCTCCGACGCAGGTAAGGTCGTGGTGGTCGTGTGGGTCCGCCATGGTGATCGACCGGCAGTGCTTCAGGCAATTGAGAAACCCGCCCCCAGCTACGCAGCGCTCGAGATGTGGTACACGAACTACAACGAACTGCGGCTGGCAGATACCGACAGAAACGAAGTGGCGCGCACACAGCTGGCCGAAGCGCTCAGCAGTGTGGGGGTACTGCCCGCAGACCCGCGTAATGGCCCCCAGACCCCACAGCGAGAAGAAAGGTCTGGGTGGAGAAAGTTCTCCCCTTTTTAGACAGCGGCGTGTTTTCGTTTCGGTTATTATGGAAAGACGAAAGACATCATAAAAATGCAAGGCTCTGAGGATCAACGCCATTGTCGTTGTTGCTATTACATTCCTTATGACGATGATGAAGTAGATGACGCGGCGGTGGTGTGCTGTGGGCGCTCGTGGGCTTGGTAGGCGTGGATGAGGTCGGTCAGGCACATGCCGGCCTCCACGAACTCAGACTCGTCCATGCCCTCCGATATGTACCTGTAGTGTGGATGGGTCGTGTCATATATCAACACGTCAGCACAATCACCATCGACCGATCACGTCTCTACATCTATCAAGAGAGTATGCAAGAGAGTATGAAAGAACCAAGAAAGGAAGGCCTTGCGCTTGAAAATGGCGTTGAACATGTCGTTGATGTTGTTGAGCGGCCGGGCGATCGTCGTCGAGTGCGCCACGAGCGTGCCCGTGACGCGCGCCGCCGGCCATGCAGCAGAATCATGCGAGACCCTGACCTCGCTCCAGGGCTGCGCGGCTCTGCTGTGTAGGTCGCCGAACGTGAACCCGCGCCGCTGCTGCTGGAGGTCTCGGCCATCGCCCTGCGCACACCAATCAAGGTCGGCAGGCTGCAGGTCCGCATCTGCTTGATCGACGGTCTGAGCCGAGTGCAGTGCCAGGACCTCGCCCGCGATGGCGTCGGCGACCGGGTGCGCTGCGCGCCGATCGGCGGCCGAGCGCGGGAGCTGGAAGTGGGCGAACGAGCCGAGCGTGCGGCCCGTGCGCCTGCCGCGGTCATCATCGTCACCGAGGTGGCGCAGGGGCCACCACGTCAGACTGCTCGATGTCCACAGCTGCTCGACGAGTCGCTTGGACTCCAACGGTTGCTCCTCCACACACAGGGTGCGTGACTGCGACAGGAAGTGAAGATTGTTGCCGCCGCCAGCGGGCATCACCAGCTGATCGCAAAGATGGCGCAGCGACGCGGGTGGATAGTAGCAGTCGCCGCTGGTGGTTGTTGTAGGGAGCGTCGGAAACCGGAGCGTGTGCGTCACCTGCGCATTGTGCCCGTTATCGTAGTCAGACCCACTCTCTGAGTGGGT